GGGGTTTTCTTGTTTAATTATCATTTTCAGAATTTGTTGACATGTCATCATCTTCATCCTCATCACCATCGTCATTACAAACATCAATAAACATCATCTGCTGAATAGAATCGAAGGTCGACACTTGGAAGTTTTTTGTTAAGGAATTTGATTCGGGATAATTTATGACAAAATCTTCCCAAGTTATTCCCACCCAAACCAAATGTCCTTCACGTCTCGGCTCTTCGGCTTCGAACCCAACAGCAAATACCGCTTGCACAAGGTCACCAAGACTTCCTGACGGTGAAGGGCTGTGAGCATGTGGGCGGCAAAGGCAGTGGTAGCAAGACATGTTGTATACAGATCACATAAATATATAATATATGTGTGTATATATATAGTTAAAACATTTCAATACACAATCAGGACACAGAAACATCAGATAAGATCAGTGTCAAAAAAAGGAAATGACTAGCACTACTTATTGAATTGCAAGACTTTGTACTTGCAACCTTATAAAGGAAGACGGTCCTGATGTGCTTTCGCACTTGGGATGTGCAATTCCAGGGATGCAAAGTACTGCATGGCCAACTCATAGTGCAGTTCCACCTCAAAGGATGGCGAGGGACTTCTGAAAAGACTCATCATGAATCTGTATCGTGGTGGTTTACGTATGTAGTAATGTAGTTTTGTGTTTTTCATGTCTTTATGTTTTTATGTTTTTTTTAATCATGAAGGTTCAACAGGGAAGTTCATACATCTTTCCCATAAAGAGTCTTTGAAAGCATATAGGAACTTATCTAGATCTACACATTACAATAAGTACCACTGCGATATGTTTAGCCGAGTAACCATTTCGACTGACGCAGGGCCTTCATCCGGTTTCAGAAAAAGGGTCTTGGTGGGGTGCCGGCGAATCACCTCCAGCTTTTCCAAGACGAAATCATTCAGCACATCCTGCGAGAGGTTTCCCCTGACCTCTGGACTGATGGACGGGTTTCTCATAAATCTGTGGCATTCATGAAACAAATTGAAATTCAATTATTTAACCAATGTGGTTCATTAATATTATTCAATATTGACTCAAAGATCTTAACTCATGTCAAGTTTCCCAAACCGAAAAACGTAGTTCAAACCGAAAGTCCTCCAAAATTGCTTTTTGCTCTTCCAGCGATAGCTGGGGCCGGGCCATCGCTAAGCACAACGAGTTGGAAACCTAAAGCCGCTATGAGCCATTGTTTTGATCGAGCAATGTGTCCATGGCTCCCTGAACCTGACGTTCGATCTCGGTCGAAAGGGATTTTGATTATGGCAAACAAACCCTGAAGATCTTTGAGAACGAATAGGGTATAGTCACATTATAAATTTGGTACATATCCTGAGGATCTCTGACAGCAATATAGGGACAAAATTATATTGAAGAATGTAGTTGAATTTCATCCCAATAGATAAATCTCGTCTATCGAAATTACACTTTGTGGACAAAGTGCCCCCAAAGATCAAAGCATCGAATTCGTGGGATCATTCCCACCCTGCGAACCCAACCACCAGGCATCCCAGGAAGGGGCAGGCGTACCTCCCCAATGCTTTGCCAACCCACCACTTGATGCCAAAGTGAATGGAGTTGATGTTGTACCCCCACTCCGCTGCTGCTCACGATGGCGGGCAATGGCTCGTTTCATGAATGAATAATTATACAACTACGTTTTGGAGGATACTTTCGATTATGAAATTTAGCTTGTGATACGTATGATGCCCTTTATTTTGTCCGAAGGCATTCAAAGCTGAGTCCATTGGGTGACATGATGAGAATCATATATTGATTTCCATTGATTTCCAAATGATATTGGTGCAATCATTGTCATGTGACGATCTGTTCCAAGTGAATACATGATGATTTAGAATCTTGAGGATACTAATCCAAGTGACAAGCCCAAAATGCCACTGAATTCGACAAACATAAGGCCCCCAACTCATTCCGACAAAGCCAGTTCCGACAATGTATATAGATTTTGATGAAGATAGTAATGTAGTCGTATATTGCCTACATTTCTATTTTGTCCCTATTTGCTGTCAGAGATCCTTAGGGATATATATGATATCTATATATGTGATACATATGTGATATATATATATATATGATATATATATATGATATATATATAATATTATAATATATATATATATACACCATATATTCATATATGATACATGTGCCACAAGAGACTCTTTGTCATTCCCACACACTCAGGACATATTCCCATATCCTTGCAGCAAGAATACCAAATATTGCCAACTCAATTTGGGTAGTTTCGGTGTTTTTCCCCAACAGCGTAAGCTATGGGGTCTTCAGCCCAGAATAGCTCCGGTGTGCACTGGTGCAGGCGCCGGGTCAGGTTCAACGAGGTTCCAGAGAAGGTTCCGGAGGTTCCGGAGAAGGTCTGGGAGGCTTTGGCGGAGCGGTCAGGTTCAACAGGGATCCGGAGAAGGTTCCGGAGAAGGTCTGGGAGGCTTTGGTGCAGAGCCAGGTCAGGTTCAACAGGGTTCCGGAGAAGGTTCCGGAGAAGGTCTGGGAGGCTTTGGTGCAAAGCCGGGTCAGGTTCAACAGGGTTCCGAAGAAGGCTCCGAAGATGGTTCCGAAGAAGGACAGGGTTCCGGACAAGGTGCTGGAGAAGGTCTGGGAGGCCTTGGTCCAAAGCCAGGTCAGGTTCTCCAGGGTTCCGGACAAGGTTCTGGAGAAGGTCTGGGAGGCTTTGCTGCAGAGCCAAGTCAGGTTCAAGGGTTCCGGAGAAGGTTCCTGAGAAGGTCTGGGAGGCCTTGCAACAGCCAGGTCAGGTTCAACAGGGTTCCGGAGAAGGTTCCCGGAGAAGGTCTGGGAGGCTTTGGTGCAGAGCCTTCAACAGGGTTCCGGAGAAGGTTCCGGAAAAGGTTCCAGGAAGCCTTGGGTTCAATGGGTTCCGGAGAAGGTTCCGGAGAAGGCCTGGGAGGCTTTGGTGCAGAGCCAGGTCACAGGGTTCCGGAGAAGGTTCCGGAGAAGGTCTGGTGCAGAGCCAGGTCCAGGTTCAACAGGGTTCTGGAGAAGGTTCCGGAGAAGGTTCCAGACATGTTTATATATATATACATACATACATAGATTGATCAGGAAATGATTTAGCTGTGATTCAACATCATGGCCTAAGAGTCTAAAATGTTCAGGTGACAGCGACTCCGGCGGCTACTCGGCTACCGCAATGGATACAGTTCACGGGCCAATCGGGTCATTGGATTGTTTGAATCTGAATCTCTTGACCCCTGCGGGCCCCAATCTTGAGGATAGACTTGAATGGCCATGGCGCTGGCTGCTGAATAAACTACAGGGAATTTTTGGGAAACCCTCAGCAAACTCTATCACTTGGTGTTTTCTGTCTAGAGCGCAAGACAAATTGTACTTTTTGGGAAGGGACAATGAGAACGTACATTTTGCACGTTGTCAGGCGGCCTCCGCATCCGCTGCACCGGCGGCGATTCAGGTGCGGAGGGGAAAAAATCCAACTATTCCAACTGCGGATCCTTGAGTTTCTGACTTTGGTATCTTTGGTTCTGGTTCCCGTGGAAGTTAAGGAAAAAACCGAATAAAACTAAGGTATGCCAAAATATGCCAAGATACTAAGGTAGTACAAAGGAACTTCCAGGTGCCTTTCGTGAGCCCAGCCTTGTCCGCAGCCATGATCACGTTGCTGTGAGGAGCCTGTGCAGACAAGCGCATGAAGGCAGGCTGCACATGGCTGCACAGCATATCCCTAGTAGCCCCAGCATAGTTGAAGGATGTTCAAGGGATGTTCAGAGGAATGCAAAAGGTTCACCGGAGCATGCGGTTTCGGTTTCAGCTACTGGGTGTATCAAGTGTATCCGATGGTTCAGTCCAATGGTTCCTTGACAAGAGGCTCCCACAGTGAGGCGCAGAATATTTCTTATTTTGTGATGCGGGAACAATTGCGTAATGCTAGCAGAAGCTCTCGCAACTGCTCCCAGCTCAATATTCACCAGGCTTGATGGCCAACGGTGTCTAGTAAATTCAAATTGTTTTGGATTCTGGAAAGAGGCGTTGCAACGTGATGCAGAAGTTGCTTAGATCTCACGATGAGACACAGTCCAAGACCCGTGAGACGTGCACTTCTGCAGCATTTTAGGACTAGATCAGATCGTTGTTTGGGTTCGACCCTATTTTTGCAGCTGATTCTGATTCAGGCAAAGCCTCAATTTTTTTGCCTAGGCGAGATCGCAATGATCCCGCTGTATGTTTTCCCTTCAGCACTGATATCACAGGGATTCACCAGAGGAACTTTTTGCAACAACCGGCAAAGATCTGGCTGGTTTATTTATCAGCTCCCAAGTACAAATCCAGCACCCACTTTGGTCAATGTAGACTTGTCTTTATTTGGAAGCAGAATTTGGTGAATCTAGTCGCTGGCGTGGTTGACTTCAGCGACTCTAGATTGGAAGACCAGAGACCTAGCCCCGAGGGCAGGATGCAAGTCATAAGATTTGCTTTTCATGTTCAGGAGAGTAAGAGGAATGGTGCAAGATTTAAACATTTCGACATCATTTCGACTAATCACTCAGTATGGACCAGGTCTTCCTCACTCTTGGTACCATAACACAGGCAGTGGGAATGCCTGGACGATTTGGATTCAAGATGAGGGCAAAGCTCGAGGACTCAAAAACTCAAAGAGATTCCATTGCTGCGCACAGCGCATCACAGCGCTTTTGTATCACTTCTGGTATGCTTCAGGATGATCAGATTGTGCCAGGTTGCCTGTATAGTCACAGATCACACCCACCCTAATCTCATTTCATGACCTGGAAACATGAAGTTCTGCGAAGCAAATTCGGTCTGACACCGCTGCAAGCCATTGTGGCACAAACTTATGTATCCATGTTCAGCTTCACTTCTGACATGATCCATGGATCAGAAGCCACTTGCGCCAGGTTTTCTCAATTTCCGTTTCTGTAGCCTATACATCCATATCCTTTCGCCGGCTATGGCAACTTTCGAGCAAGTCGATGCAAATCAGGCCAGGTTGATGACAATTGAAATGCAGACTATTCTGGTCGCTTCGCGACGACAACCACCCGTACCAGGATTGTTTGCTTTCGGTAGAACGTGTGATCACTCTCAGAAAGACTAAATCACAATAAAGCCTTTTTGTATTTTTTTTTTAAACTTTGAGACCATTATAAACTTTATTTATATTTTTTTAAATGATACACTGATACACTATATGAAAAATAATGTGTATATTATATATATATAGACATTGCAAATAAGCTCCAAGATGCTCCTTGAAATCCTATTGTGCGCTTGTTTTTGGCCGATGTTGGGCTCAATTGTTTGGGCATATGATGTTGAGCCTAAATGGACACTATATTGAGCTATTTTGTGCCAATTTTGGACTGTGTCAGGTCCCTCAGCCAACCTTCCAAAATAGCAACCCAAAGTGGGCTCAATCGGGAGCGAGCATGCTGCACCGTGTCACAACATGGGATCAGTCAACATTGAACATAATCTAGATTTGGCACAGGCTTTGTTCATGACAAACGTACATAAAAATACAAATAATATAATGTTTTTGCTGTTTTCTCCCTCTTTTTTTTTGGCTGTGTTGTTTTTCCTCGATCAACTTGAAATATGACCGTATCCGAATTAAAAGATCTATGTTGATGTATGTTGATGTGAAGGAGAGCGGATTTGGAGCCCATGTTTAGGCAATGTTATGTCATTTGGATCTATTTTGAGCTTGTCTTGGCGCTATATGTTGGCCCTAACAGGGCCATTTTGGCCATTTTGGGCCATTTTCAGCCTATAGTGCCGATCTTGTGGCAATGTTGGACCTATGTCGGACCTATATTTGGCAGCTTAGCCGACTTGACGACCTTCTCAAAAACATTGAAAACATACGATTCTAGAGCAAATATGCCTCCCACCCAAGCTAAAGCTTATAGTAATAGCTATTGCAATTGCTTCTCATTAATGCGTGCACGTAAAAAAACGCCTCAGCACCTTCAGTGCGGGCGGATTTTCCCTTGGGCGGAGGTCTTATTGTTCTTTTTTTGTCTCCATTTATTTGCATGTCTTTGAGGATGGAGTGATCTCGCGGGAAGAGTCCCTTGGCTTACAAGCATTGAGTTGTCCTTCGTTTCGGCCCTGCAGCTTGCTTGATTCCCTTTTGGTACCGAGGTTTGCTGCAGCTATGACAGGAACAGCAGCGGCTCCAGGCATTGAAGCAGCTTGAACATTTTGATTTTTGCAGCTCATAGCCGTGAAACCAGGCACTGAGACCACAGCTCCGGCCTATTCCCCCATGGATACTTGGCAAACCTGGTCGTTTTGAATTGAACAACTCTTCTCTCGTGAAGAATTCCGATTAGTCTCGGAGCTTAGGTGACTACCTACGGTGCCCCGGGAACTGCATATCCAACTGGAACCATCATGGAACCAGTGGCAGTGCCGGGTGCTTATGGTGCACCTCCCACCGCCTATGGTGCCCCACCAGGCGCCATGTATGCGGCCCCTGCGACTGCCTACGGTGCGGCACCAACCTACGCTGCTCCTGCGACAAGTTATGGTGCTGAAGCCACCTATGCTGCTCCTACTGGAACTTATGCAGCTCCCACCTATGCTGCCCCGGCTGCCACCGAAGGGACCTACGCGGCTCCAACCTATGCTGCCCCCACGGCCACTGAAGGGACCTATGCGGCTCCCACCTATGCTGCCCCGGCTGCCACTGAGGGGACTTATGCAGCTCCGACCTATGCTGCTCCAGCCGCCACCGAGGGGATGTATGCAGCTCCGACCTACGCTGCGCCAGCAGGTACTTATGCCGCCCCTATGTACGCTGCTCCTGCTGGCACGGCACCGGCTGAGACTATCGGCACGGAGGGTTCCACCACTGAAATGCCAACGTACGCAGCTCCTGCTGAGCCTATCCTGGCACAGGGTCCTGCCGGCACCTTCACCACCGATCCACAGGGCATGGGCACCACGATGCAACCTCCACAGCCAAAGGTGCTTCCCACTGAGACCGTGATGGGGCCTGTCACACAGGCTGGGTGGGGTGCACACCGTCACTTGATTGTGTCAAAATTATTGTATGTTGAGAAACTGCTGCTGCACCAGCTTGATATTCAGGTCAAGATTCCAGTTGACACCGTCAAAGACCATGGACGCGCTACAATGACGTGGCTGGGCTTTGATAACATCTTTCTTTTTTTTGGTGCAACCTGTCTTCCATGGACCAGTTTGCTGCACGCTTAGTCACCCCTCTCCACCACCAACATATTTTGCCTTTTGAAGTGGACCTCACATGATCCGACCATGTACTGCTGTCACATTTTTCCGCCAAGGTTGCACAATGCCCAGATGCACGCCACTCGCGAGCAGGGCCAACCGCAGTACATTGCCGGCGTGGGAACAGAGGTGGATGCGCAGCCACAGGCACCTCTCCGTGATGCTTCAAAGAAGTGAAGTGAAAGTCCCTGTTGAGATTGGGTAAGTGTGGAAGTTCAAATTCTATCTCCTAGCAGGTCCTGACATGATACAGTAAGACCTTTGTCACCAAAGGAGACTGAAAGCTGTCAGGGAGCAGGCCACTGTTCAAGCAAAATTGCAAGGTGACCGTGGAACGCCAACAGCAGGTTGTGCCCGGACAGGTGAAGCAACAGGCGTGTCCCGTGTCAGTTGGAAGATGTTGGAAGAGAGAGTTTTGGAATGTCTTGGATGTGTTGTGTTACAGTACTGTTACAGTTGCGTTTTGATTCTTTTTTCCCCTCAACAAATCGGTCATGGAGTCATGGACCATCTTGATGCTTTTGTTCTTTAGATTTCTTTAGTTATTGTATGAATTGTATGTACACTCTTGGTCTGATGGAGCGATGCTAAAGAGCATGGCGATCAGATCGTGGAGATCCCAACCGTGCAAGAAGTCGTGGAGGAGCAGGAAATTCCCGAGGTTCGCTAGCACATTGACTCACATCGACTCACATTGACTTTGATTTTGCTTCATTTGATTGAACAAAGTTCAGCTATGGCTTCGCCACAAATGCATCATATGACAGAAACTCACATATAATCCATACAATCTCCTCGTTGCAATTAGCCGTTGCGTAAAAGATATCAATGTTACTATCACGGTGGCAGTTTCTGAGTTTTTCTTTTTTTCAGACAACAATATGTTTTGGAATGCTTGTTGGGAGCAGGTGCAAGTCGTGAACAAGGTGGTTGAGGTGTGGGAGTTTCAGTGACAGCTCCAAATTGCAGAGCCCGATACATGCAAATTCAGATATGAAGCCACAGTTTGAGTTGGACTACAGTATTCCAAGCCAACAGGGCACTCTGGCAAGAAAAGGACAAACCACAGCTACAGCATGTGTTTTTGCTGACCGGAAACTATAGAAGCCGCATTTTGGGAATCGATTCACAAGTCTTGAAACAGGTTCCACAGATTGTGCAGCAGCAAGTGGAGCAGATCGTGGAGCAAGTTGTCGAGGTGAAATCCATGCGATTCGATTGACGGTTTTTCCAACATGAACAACAGATCTGTTTTTCCATGTTTCATGTTTCATGTGTGTATGTCAGCAGATCGAATTTGTTCCGAGAGATGAGAAAGTAGCAAACCACCTGAAACATCCTGAAACAAATCTTTACGAACTCGTTGCATTTGTTTGGCCCACAACTCGGTGCAGATGCCTTTCTGCCGTGCCTCACTCCACTTGACTGGAAGGTGCCACAGATCATTCCGCAGAAGCGCGTGCAGCAGCGCACGGTGGAGCAAGTTGCAGCTTGGTGGAAAGAGAGCTAATCCTGATATCTATGTACCTAGAGGATCCTAGAGGAAGTTCTTCTGTTGGATGATACGATATAGATAGATATAGCCTATAGCCTATAGTGTTGGATAAAGATGGTGAAATGGCAGTAGCGAGTCTTAGGAAAAGATGAAGGTCCAACGGATGAAACTCTGTACAAGAGAAGTGCAATGAAAAGGGTACATTCTGTGGAGAGATTTGCTTGATGAGGTGGATGTTCCAATCCCACAGATGGTGGAAGAGATTGTCCATGTCCCTGTGACTCAGACGCAGAATCGCCAAGGCCTAAGCAGTGAAGTCATGTGAAGTCCACAGCAAAAGGTCCAGCAGCCATGAGGATTTGTGTCATTTTGCGCAGCCATTTTGCATTGAGGTCACCACCATCAGCATGTCGAGCAGACTGTGGAGGTTCCAATTCCTATGCAGCAGGAGCAGGTTGTGCACGTCCCCAAGGCACGCTAAAGAATCATTAAAGAATCATCCTTTATCATCCTTTCATTTTCATGTACATGCTGTATATACGTATATATAATTATATATATATTCTGTATTATCTGTGTGCATGAGAAGCACATACAAAGACGCACAATTCTTGGCAGGTGGTCGTCCAGCAGCGCGTCCAGCACAGGCAGGTGGAGCAGTTGGTCGAAGTGCCAGTGCCACAGATCGAAGAGGAGATCGTCCACGTTCCTAAGATCATCACGCAGCAACGCGTGCAGCATGAGCATGTCGAGCAAATTGTGGAGGTGCCTGTGCCAATGATGGAGGAAGAGGTCGTTCACGTTCCAAAGATCATCACCCAGACTCGAGTCCAGCACCAGCATGTTGAGCAGACTGTGGAAGTGCCAGTTCCCATGATGCAAGAGGAAGAAGTTCAGGTGCCAAAGGTGGTCACCCAGACTCGAGTGCAGCATCAGCACGTTGAGCAGACAGTCGAGGTGCCTGTGCCTATGACCCAAGAGGAAGTGGTTCACGTGCCCAAGATCATGACTCAGACTCGAGTTCAACAGCAGCATGTGGAACAGACTGTGGAGGTGCCAATTCCTATGACACAGGAGGAAGTCGTCCATGTGCCCAAGGTGATTACGCACACTCGCGTGCAGCAGCAGCAGGTCGAGCAGACCGTGGAAGTGCCAATCCCAATGACACAGGAGGAGGTCGTGCACGTTCCGAAAGTTGTGACCCAAACTCGCGACTTGCTCGCATGAAGTCTCTGGGTGAATGATGGGAGTCTAGTCATTGCATCAAAAATCCAACGGTACGTACGTGTTTGCCCACTCACTCAGCAGCCAATCAGTCAGTTTTTCTGTCAAATCAGATCCATGAGCCGAACCCTAGACTAGACTCGGAGGTCCTTCTGACACTCCTCCGGCCTTTCTTCCAAGGTCAGTTCCAGCAGCAGGTCGAGCAGACTGTGGAGGTTCCAATTCCTATGCAGCAGGAGGGAAGGGAGTGTTTGATCAAAGTGAGGTCTTGATCCTTTTTCCGGTAAGACTCAGAAGGGGATTGGCAGATAGCAACTGGGGAGCCGAGTCTTTGAATCCTTTTGGGACTTGGGAGATATCCTTCTGTGATTCTGCTCTGAATTTCTGGCGACAGGAAGAGGTTGTCCACGTGCCAAAGGTGATCACTCAGCAGCGAGTCCAGCACCAGCAAGTGGAACAGACCGTGGAAGTTCCTGTTCCTATGATGCAGGACCCAGCATGATGGGGCTGCCGTTTTCCATTTCGCTCTTGTGTTGAGATGTCGAAATCTCGTCCGGTCTGCCGGTCCCTGCTCTCCTTGCTGAAGTTGGCCTTGATCTCGTTCTTGATCTCGTTCGGGTCCTTGTCCTGGTCCGACATGATCCGACATGGCCCGATCCGATTGATGCAGGAGCAGGTGGTGCACGTGCCCAAGGTGATTCAGCAGGAACGCATCTCCCACCAGCATGTCGAGCAGGTGGTGGAGGTGCACGTGCCAATGACCCAGGAGCATCATGTAGGGCCAAAGCAAAATCAGAAGCGCGGCCTGAAGTATCTGAACCCTTCAAGAAAAAAGGGTCAGCTACTGGGTAGGTTCCACGTAGGTTCATTGAACTTCACTCTTCAATACTTAATACTTTTTCATGCTTTTTCAGCTTATCCGTCTTTCACTCTTCCAATTCCTTTAGGATCATGTGCAGCATTTCAAATTGATGAACACGCAGGGAGCCTGCAAGAATTTTGTTTCTAACATGCTTTGCATGGAGCCTCCAGGCCACCAAAGGTTGACCAAAGCAACATTCCCTTGACCAGGAGGAAGTTGTGCACGTGCCAAAAGTGATGCAGCACGAACGCCAGCATCACTTCCACGTCGAGGCCGCTGCGCTGATGGCAACATTCAGACTTTGCTCCCTACATTATGGGAAACTGACTGACTCTGAACTGTCACTTGATCCCCAAAAGAGTGCCTGAATTGTCGCAGGAGGTGGTTGACGTCCCTGTGGAGCAGCACGTTGAGCAAGTTGTGCATGTGCCTGTTGCGCTTGGCCTAGTTTTTCAGTTTCCAGCTTGTGCATGTCGTTTAGGGCAGGGAACACCTGGCTCTTGTACCTGCTTGTCACGCAATGAATTTTTGTGGCAGTATGTGCTTCCTCCAAGGTGAACAAGATGGAACGAGTTGTGCACAACCCCGTTGACCTCGTTGTGGAAGTTCCGCGTCCTGTTGTCATCGAGAAGACCATTGAGGTGCTCAGATGTCTGCCATGGAACATCGACAGACTTGAAGCCTAGCAATGTGCTACTGAGCTGCTACTCGATCTACTGGGTTCCTGGATGTTCCTGGTAGGTCCCCAAGATCCAGATCGAAGAAAGAACCATCAAAGTGCCAAAGGCAAGCAATGAGAAAGCGAAAGGCATGTCAGGTTTGAAAGCGAAAGGTCTTGCAGATGAGAGTGGCTGCATGTTGCTGCCCTTTTTTGTTACGGATGTTTGCGCCATTGGCAGTTTATATTTTGATTTTGATGAACATGCATGTCGCAAGATTGTACAAGGTTGTACAAGGTTGTACATTTTGCCTGAGTTTATATGATGTTTATATGATGTCTATAGGATGTTTATATGATGTTTATATTTATATGATGTTTATATGATGTTTATATGTTCTATTTTAAGTAATTTAATCTCAATCCATTCTGCCGGGTGCCAAACTCCACTTTTGGTCCTCTGCCCTGGCTCTGTGAAGGTCATGAGCACCATGGTGGACACGGTTGTCCAGAACCAGGTTGAGACCATTGAAGTGGTGAAGCCAACTGTGGTTCTTTGGCAAAGACATTGGCATATTTTAACTGTTTTCCGTTCATAAGTTCATTTTTCGACATAACGCAACTTTCATTCTTTTTGGCAAATTCTACATTGTGAGATAAACTGCTTCCACTTGTGACACCTTCTCACTCTGCATTGTGATGCCATGTGATCAGGTTCGTAAGGTGGTCCAGCGCAAGAAGCCAGTGATCCAAGAGCAGGTGCAGCATGTGCCCAAGGTCGGGTGTAAGACATTGCTGTGGCAACTGCTGTGGCAAGCAGGGCATCCAATTTCATCTGATGAAGCGAACAGAGCATAGCTTGTGCTGCAGGTGATGGTGCAGCATGTGCCTGTGCAGAAGGTGGTTCAGAAGGAGGCAGGTACGAGAGTGACAAATGAAATTCAGGTCTGCTTGGTGAATTCTGCCCTTTCCCTTCTCATGGAATTATCCATCCACAACTCGGCACCGTCGCATTTCTTTGAGCATAGGCTGATTGAGGCTGAATTGCAATTGACTGAATTGACCATTATACATTTTTTCATACTTTTCTTGTGGACAGGTTCAGGTGCCACAAGTGCAATACATTGACGAGGTCGTGGACTGAAAAACGAACTTGCAACGAGACCATGCCGCATTTTTTGTGCATTTTCCTACCACTGATTTGCAAAAGGGTTACCATAGTGGCATTGCATAGATTACATTAGATTACCTATTTCAAAGCCTTCATATGCTTTCCATTGCTTTCCATTGCTTTCCATTGCTTTCCATTGCTTTCCATTGCTTTCCATTGCTTTCCACTTTCCTATTAGAACATCCAAAAATTGACCTATGCATCGAGGTCGTGGACGTCCCAGTGGTCAAGCACAGGCCGTCCCTGTCTATGCCCAGCGCAGTTTGGAGATGAATAATTACATCATGTGCAGCGTTGTGCATCAGCGTTGTGAATCATAGGGGTGCCATGGCCACCAGAAGCGTCTATTTTCAAATGTTACACACTTCCTTTACTCCGCTTTTTAAAGATGGGATTCTGTTCACCTTGCCCCTCTGTGGGACAAACATTCCATAGCCAATTTCCGGGAATTGCTCACTTTCTCATAACCTGTGCCCATCAAAACTTGTAAGTCTTTAGTAGATTCAGTAGATGGTTTGTCAATGTCTTTTTCAAGTCTCAAGGCCAGTCTTTGCCTAGGGTCACTTTCCCTTTGCACTTCTCATGCAGGCTCCCACTGTTCGAGATTCCCTTATTTTGGACGGAAACCCTGATTTATGTTGGTGTTGTTGTTTGCAGTTGTGCTCTTCCAAATCTCCAAATGCTGCTCCAACATCTTCTTTGCTGTCATGCATCAAGTGTTCCAGGCAAGTCCCAGTGCCAATGAAGCAGCAGAAACATGTGGAAGCCTGCTACTTATTGCAGTGTTGTAGAAAGTGCATTGTGAGGCAGCTTTCCCAGATTCTTTGTGAACTCGATGTTTTGAAGGCACTTCAGATATCAGTGGATCGATGGACTCAATGGACTCTGGGTGCTTTGAGGTGCCTCAGGTGGAATATGTGGACCACCACATTGAGATCCCAGTGGCCAAACATGTGCCTTTGGATCCTTTGGCTTGTGCTGCTGCTTTGAACCATTTTGAACCGACTGCAGAAAAAAACGGCATTTTCCACAGTGTTATTGCACTTCACCGATTTGTACCTTGCATGCTCAAGACTCGAGAATGCATTCTGAATGCAGGTGCACGTGCCGCACATTCAGACAGTCCAGAAGACCGTGGAAGTCCCACAGATCCAATACGAAGACCAGATTGTGGACGTGCCCGTTCAGAAGCATGTTCATGTGCCAGTGGTTCAAAAGGTTCAGAAGACCGTTGAGATTCCTCAGATCCAGTATGAGGACCAGATTGTCCAAGTGCCAGTGACCAAGCAGGTCCAAGTACCCATGGTGCAGAAGGTGCAGAAGACGGTTGAAGTCCCTCAGGTTCAGTACGAGGATCAGGTGGTGCAGGTTCCAGTGACCAAACAGGTGCATGTGCCAATGATCCAGAAGATCCAAAAGCCAGTTGAAGTTACTCAAGTTCAGTATGAGGACCAGGTTGTGCATGTCCCCGTGACTAAGCAAGTGCATGTTCCCATGGTGCAGAAGGTGCAGAAGACCGTTGAAGTCCCACAAGTGCAGTATGAAGACCAAGTCGTGCATGTTCCTGTGGAGAAACCAGTGCACGTTCCTATGATCCAGACGGTGCAGAAGACGGTTGAGGTGCCACAAGTGCAGTATGAAGACCAGGTTGTGCACGTTCCTGTGGAGAAGCAGGTGCACGTGCCAATGGTGCAGAAGGTGCAGAGGCCTGTCGAAGTGCCTCAAGTCCAGTACGAAGATCAGGTTGTGCACGTGCCCGTCGAGAAACAGGTCCACGTGCCGATGATCCAGACTGTGCAGAGGCAGGGCCTCACATATTCAGTCTTTTTTTGCACATCTCTGTCACAGCTGCACTGTCACAGCTCTGCTTTCCTTCTTTTCCGCTGCATCATCCCCAAAAGAATCATTTCATGTCTCTGATGCGGTGTAGGGTCCGTTTGGGAAGAACCATTTTTGGGTCGTTGCAAATGCTCCAGATTCAGGCAGGTGGAGGTGCCGCAGATCGAGTATGAAGATCAGGTTGTCCAGGTGCCCGTCCAGAAGCAGGTGCAGGTGCCGCACGTCCAAACCGTCCAGAAGACCGTGGAAATCCCTCAGATCGAGCCACTTGCCTGCAAAAGCCTTGGGTTCCAGGCTGATTTTCAGAACTTCCGCGTTTCTTTTCAAGTCTTTCAGGCAACATCATTGGTGGATGGTGCATAGCATTTGAGGTATGTTGACAAAGTCGTACCAGTTCCTGTGGCAAAGCAAGTGCATGTGCCCATGGTCAGCACCGTTGCTCACCTGCATCTATTTGAAGTGTATCTCTCTGAATTCTCTTAGTCTTAGTATTATCATGTATTATCTAGAATCTAATTATTTGAGTTTTTGTCCGGACTTGGCTACGTTGAAAGAAACCATCCACTATTTGTGCTGAAATGATTCAGAACATGTTGCAGCATTCTTCGGAGTTTCAATTTCTTTTGTTCAGTGTGCAGCGTGCCAAAGCTGTACTTCAATGCTTGAGCAATGCTCAAGGTGCAGAAAACAGTGGAAATTCCCCAGATCGAATACATCGAACCTTGCCTGCACAAATGGACTGGTGAGATTTTTCTCCCTCTTATCACTTGAATGTTTTTCCAGTGTACTCATGTGCCAATCAATCCTGTTTGCGCGAATACTTTCAAAACTTTTTTGTTTTGGTTTCAACGATTGAACTTATCGAAGGACAACCACGTCCACATTCCCGTGCAAAAGCATCGTCACGTCCCGGTCCACGTCCCTGTGGAGAAGCCTGTGGAGGCTGTTCAGGGAATTCATCCGCACGATTTGTGCGGCTTTCAGGGCAGTATGTACTCAGCAGGATAATGCAAAATGTTTGAGACAGAGGCTGCGATTGTAAGCCTGGTGTCACTTTTTCTCTCTGAAGGTGACAGTCATTGAGACTTTGGAGAAGATTGTGGATGTGCCAGTCGTGAAGCAAGTTGAAGTTCCACAGGCAGGCTGCTTAATCATTTCAGTGACACAATTACGCATGAGACGAGACATGAGACCCTGGTCTCTCACCCTGCTTTGACAATGATCACCTTCCCCCGGAAGTTTCAGCTATATACTTTACCAATTGACATCGTATTTCCATGTATTTCCGATGATTGAGGACTTTAGATTACGTATTCAGTGTGATACAAAACCGGTGAGAGCACCCTGACTTTGACGGACTTGGTTTGCTCAGGTTCAAACAATCGAGAAGATTGTTGAGATCCCACTCGTGCTTTCCTCAATGCAGTTTTGGTTCAAAATGAACTTTTTCTCCTTCATTCAAGGGTTTGAAGCCTGAAACATTGCTTGCAGGCACTTAAGTTAAAGTCTTCAAACGGGGTCTCATAGTTGGTTTTCACAACGAAGTTTGCGCTTAGGAGTTAGGGGATCCATCTCAAGAAATTGCTTGAGTTTTGTTAAGAAACCTAGCCTAGCTGTTCGGAGCTTCGAGGCTGATTCATATATTTTTAAGATTTTGTAATTTTGTATGTCTGTTTGCATTGTTCCTGTATATTATATCGTAGCATGTATACAGTATGCAAGTGAAGATCACTTGATGCAGTCTCGCCAGACGCTCGCTCGTCCGCAGTTTGAGGAACCAAAAAGGTTTGAAGGCCCATTTCCATCCTGTGTAACCGGATTGTCTAGCCATAGCACATCTTGGAGGAAGAGAACCAGTACAAGACTTGAGCTCCTACCATTGCAAGTTGGACACTTGCCTGGTAGTGGAGCCTACCACAGGCTCGTGTGAGAAGAGGATCCAGGGGACGGCTGTCCTTGCCAGGCCAGGACAGAATGACAAGTGTCAATGAGAGCATGCGCCAGAGACGGAGTGCCAACATGGAATGGAGAGGCGGCAAGCTTCCAAAACTATGAGGAGGTGGCGCTTCAGCGGGAGCAAGGGATAGCGTATCACAAATGCTCTCTTTGCGACCACGCTTAGTCAGCGAACTCACAGGAACCGCAAGAAAGTTCCTCTTTGGCAAGAGACCAGTGTGGGTCTCGTGGAATGGGGGAGTCCGTCACCTACTAGATCATCTACGAACTTCGTTGGGCATCTGAACAGATACTTCAAGACCACAAAGAGGCGCAAGATGGAGTCGATGAACGAGTAGCTGACCACTGTGACTCTCAGCACCGCCAACGGCAATGGCGAAACAGGCGCGACAATAGCTGGCGTCGTCAATGGGGGGCTGATCAATGGAGCTGGCAGGAACAGAGTGAGTCTCAGCAATCACAGAACGGTGAGTGGGTAGAGGAAGAATTCCATTCCGGAGCTGAAGAAGAACCTTCAGATGACTGGGGCCAGTCCGGAAGCTATTGGATTGGTTCCGCGGGACCAGAAGAGATGAGTCATGGAAGCGAGAGGGACAAGAGCTTCTACCAGACTTTCCTACAAGGGTGGTATCTCTTGCAAGATGCCGCACTCGATGCCAACGAGAATAACATGATTCAGACTGCCATCCAAGGCAGCTTTGGCCTGCAGGGCACAGGAGCTACGAGCGCAGTGGCCAGAAGAAAAGCTACGTCGTCGTGACCAAGGTGGGCTACAGGCAGGCTTCTGGCAAGGCGTGAGGCAAGGGCCAAACAGAAGACCGTCAAGATGTCTCGACGGTACTACCGGACAGAACCCAGGAGGTCCGCTATGGCATGAACTATGCGAAGACCACGCAAGAGGCCATTGAGGCGGGGATGGGCATCATAGATGGAGGTGCCACCAGAACTCTGTCTTCAGTCTTCGCCTTGGAAAAGTTGATGGCCTGCAATGTGGCAAAATATGGACGTGATGGCGTCATGGAGATTGATGTGAACGACCGGCCCACTTTTGGCTTTGGAAACCCATCCAAAGACACATGCATCTCAACCGCTAAGATTGAGAATGGTGCCAACGACAAGCCCGGGGTGTTGAAGATCCATGCCTTGGACAAGGGCACTGGCCCTATACTCTCTTGTGAATTGACACTCTGAGGTCCTTGGGGGCTGTGATCGACTATGCCGCGGACATGGTCGCCTTTCGCAGCTTGGACAAGTACAAGGTCATCCCTCTGGAGAGGTCTGCATCAGGCCATCAGTTGATCTCCCTGACTGAAGATCTATACAAACATGCCCGGAGCTGTGAAACTGCAGTTCCGAGCTTAGCTGATTTTTGCTAGGGACAGCACCTCTTTTCGTTGGAGCCTGCCAGTGAAAGAGGGGGCCAGAGCGTAGAAAGTCAGGCAAAGGTAGTTAGTACGGCCGAAACGTTTGAAGGTAACGGTTTTGATCAGGTTGTTGGGGTTGGCAACAAATTGAGTGAAGTTCCTGGAGCGCAAAGTGCACACCCCACACACACAAATCACCACATGCACACTGAATCACCTTTACAAGAACATATCAACTTCACAGTGTGGATCAAAGTAGTCAGTCATCCTGTAGCTGCCTCATCTCTACCTCACTGTTGCCATGACCAAGTCACGCAAAGAGCTGACTTCCGAGCGTTGGAGCTGGGCGAAGTGGCGCCGGAAAAGCGGACGGTGACGGAGCCGAGGATTCGTCTAGCCGAGTTGAAGGAGGAGAAGGGGCTGACCGGCAAGCGCTCGAAGCGCACTATTCTCCAAGAATGGGTGGTCAAGCTGAATGCCGCCTCAAAGAAGAAGATGGAGTTGCAGAAGTTCAACCACGAGCAGCTCAACTTGTCAGTGGCGGGGAATGCAACCATCCTCGACTTGCAGAAACAGGCCATGGAGAAGATCTACCAGATCAGTCCAGCACATGGCACAGACCCAGTCGGGTTTGGACAGCACGGTGCCCTCTCGTACGAGGAGGTGATGCAGCAGGGGAAGAACTACTGCAAGTGGGTGATCACGACGGCAAAAGAGGGGCAATGCAGCAGTCGGTGCAACGTCTCCCAGGCTGGCTGGAGCGCCAGACAACCGAGAACATGGTGAAGGTGAAGCCGGTGAAAGAAGAGATGATGGGCTCGGCCGAGCCGGCCGAGAGTGCGGGGTCAGTGGGCTCCGCAACCAGCGCAAATGACAGAGATGAAGGAGGACATCGTCGACCAACTCCAGAACCGGCCACATAGAAAGACCATCAAGTACAAGGACATGCAGAACTCCGCAGGGAGCTGGAGCCCAGTGTTGAGCCCGGTCACACCAGAGAAGTAGATCATCCAATGGTGGAGGATCCATGTATGAGCGGCATGAGCGGCACCATAGGGACCGAGGGTAGAAATTTCCAAACACTCACTCCCAATGCCCAAAGGTTTTTCAATAGCATTCAGTGTGATGTTGCTGCTTCGGCTTTTGATCAACTAACACAGGAGAGTGATGTCACCTTGCTTGAAGTTGCGTGCAGCCCAGCCAGTCGGCTGTCGCATGAATGAGGTCCAGCACCTCGCCGGCCGAGAAAATGCTGCTGAGCGTTGTTCCAACGGAATGGATGTGATCTTGGGACCGGGGAAGGGGTGAAGTTAATTATCTCCAAAATCAACCTTTTGAATTCTCGTCATGTCTATATATCCTTTGAATGTGGCCCATATTCCCCCATTCAAAATTTGAATCAGAAGACCGCCAGTCAAAGGGAGGAACTGGAAAAGAAACGTAGGGAGGTCTTAAAACAATATGTTGGGCTTGTTGCATGTACCAGCACTGCGTCCAGCGGGGAACGCACGTCACATGGGAATGGTCGGAAAAGTGCCAAGCGTGGCGTCTGCCAGTCATGCAGAAGCTGCGAGAAAAGTTTCAGCTGCTGACCGCGGTAGTCCATGGGCGTCAGGTGAATTTGCGACATGAGAAAACCCAAAAGCTTTGAAAAAGGCATGGAAAATTATGACTACTCATCGTAGGTTCGCCAACATGATGCAGTTGACTTGCAAGTGCCCAAAGAACTATGAACATGGGATTTGTGAGGGAGCCATGACTCAGGTGTCCGCTTACTATACCCCTGAATATGCCATCATGCATGAAATGGATCATGTCCGGTTACATGAGGAACTCCACGGTAGAATTGACTTGCCACGCCACTTTGGGGGAGGGTCATTTTGTTACCGTAAGGAAGTTCATAATCATGGGATCAAATTCACGTGTGGGGCATGTCATGAGGATCCGGTGCACATGGGGCTCGTGTGGGCAAACCCAAAACCACCAAAAGTGGGAAAGTAAGGGGGATAACCCAGAAGGGATTTTTGTGAATGAGGGTCCCGGGGTTTCCAAAATGCCCGATGAGCATCTGAAGAAGCAACTGTATCTTCTTCATGCGGCTACCGGCTACTGTAGCACTAGGAACTTGGTTTTAGCGTTGAAGAAACGGGGTGCTAGTAGTCCGGTGAGCAAGGCTGCTGAAGAGTTTCAGTGCACGATTTGTGCTGAGAAACAGAAACTGAATGGGAAACATGCGGCAACCTTGGAGCCGCTACCACCAAAATGGGCTATGTTGAGCGCCGATGGGGGGCACTGGACTCACAATGAAACCAAAGAAACTGTGGGGTTTGCGGTCTTGATTGATGAAGGCAGCAGGTTTAGGACGGCTAAGGTGCTGTGTAGAGGTAAGAAACAAACTTTGAATGCCTCAGTTTATTCAGTACTTAAAAGAGAGTTGGATGCAATACTTTGGAAAACGCACAACATTTCGGTTGCATCCTGCAGGTGCTTTCCACCCAAACAAAGTTGAAGCATTTTGCGATGCTGAATTCATATATTTAGATTAGATATGATTCCCGCTGAAGCACACTGGAAGTTTGGAATCTGTGAACAGGCTGTCAGAGGTCTCAAAGAGGTAATGAGCAAGCTTGTGATGAATGAACCCAGCATCACTCCGGAGGATGCACTTAGCACTGCAGTGCGAGTTTGTAACCACCGCGAAATTGTCAGAGGTTCTTCTCCAGCACAACATGCGGGCAAAGCACCTGATGAGACTGGGAGGTTCATCAACACTTTGAAGGTCGTCCACACACGGGGAATCCCACTGAAGAGTTTCAACAAACCATAGAAAGAATGAGGGCGGCAGAGCAAGCACACTCGTCTGGGCTGGCCAAGGAGAGAACTACTCGGGCTTTGAACTCACGAGGTCAACGACAGTTCAACTACCGCCCAGGAGATTTGGTTTACCATTGGAGAAAACAGTTGCCCAAGAGTTTGGATGCCACAAAGACAGGAGGGCTCTTAGGACCAGGTCGAGTCTTAATCACAGAGACTCACAGAGATGAACACGGGAATTTGCGAGCTGGTAGTTCGGTCTGGATCATCAGGGGTCGCAGGCTGCTCAAATGTTGTGTGGAACAATTACGGCATGCCACAACCAGAGAAGAGCTCATGGAACACTTGGCCACAGACACCGAGAGCAAAGCACCCTGGACAGTACCACACATGGTGGAAGAAATGGGGAAACATGAGTATGAGGATGCCACCGAGAATCAGCCCACAGACATGGAGTGGGAAAGTGCAGAAGAAGAAGCCCCAGTACCTGAAAGACCTTTGACTCGTCACCGGACTAAACGTCCTGTGGCACAAGTGGAGAGAACCGACATGGAGATCGACAGTCAAACAGGACCTTGGTGGTCGCAAGTGAACTTCGAGGAGAACAGCGCGGATGCTCATGCATACTGGTCAGACTATGAGGCCGGTGTAGAGATCGCTATAGACATGCCAACCAGCAACCGAAGTTGGACAACACTGGAGGCCAATATGGCAGGATACTTTGTAGCCAGCATGAAACGACGCAGTATAGAAGTTAGTGAAAAACGCATGGACCCAGAGACCCGCAAGCTCTTTGAGGGTGCAAAAGGCGTCGAGGTCAAGAACTTCATAGCTGCGAAAGCATTTGAAGCATTGCCACCGCAACTGCAGCTGCCAAAACACAAGGCCGTGGGAATGAGGTGGATCTTGACATGGAAGTTGCAAGACGATGGCAGTACAAAACCAAAGGCCAGAGCCATACTGCTTGGCTACCAGGATCCTGACCACGAACACAGAGCAACAACCACTCCAGTGATGACGAATCAGAGTCGTCAACTTCTCCTTCAAGCAGCCGCCATTCGAAGATGGCTCACTCAGAAGGGTGATGTCACAGGCGCTTTCCTCCAAGGAAGAGAATACCCTACAGACTTATACTGCGTCCCATTCCCAGAAATTGATGAGGCAATGGGCATTCCCAGTGACAGTATTACTCGTGTGAAACGGGGCTGCTACGGCTTGGTCGATGCGCCTCTGGAATGGTATCGCAGTGTATCAACATTCTTAGAAGAACTTGGTCTGCAGAAAGCTTGGAGTGATCCATGCATGTGGCTGTGGAAACGCAAGGTACCCTACGAGGCATCATCAGTTGCCATGTTGATGATTTCCTGTTCAGTGGAGGTCAACAAGACCAGGAATGGGAAGCTCTGCTGAAGACCATTCGAGAAAAGTATGCTTGGGGCGAGTGGGAAAGCAAGAAGTTTGTACAGTGTGGAGTGCTGATTGAAGAACAATCAGACAATAGTTATCACCTTTCTCAACCAAGCTACATGGACAAAGTCCATGAAATTCCACTCAGTGCCAGCCGTCGGAAAGATAAGGATCGCACACTCACCAGTAGAGAACATACCCAATTGCGTGCTGCACTGGGAGCCTTGAGTTGGCACGCACAACAAGTCGCGCCGCACTTTGCGGCAGAGGTAGGTCTATTTTGTCAGAAGCTGCAAAAGGGACAGTGGAGACAATCATCAAAACCAACAAATTGATTTATGCTGCCAAATCTCGAAGACACCACAAAATGGTGACCCTTCATTTCCCAGAGTCAGTAGAAGTAGGTCTGTTCATCTGGGCCCATGCTGCGGGTCAAAACAGGCGCGATGGGAGCAGCACACAGGGTTTGTTTCTGGGAATAGGCCAGTCACGTTGTTAGAAGGTCACCTGGAACAAGTCACACCCATTTCTTGGCATGCGAATAAGATTGACAGAGTTGTTCGTAGTCCAGAGGCCGCTGCAGCTGCTGCTGTGGTCAATGGCGAAGACCAATTGTATCATGCTAGGCATCAGTGGGGTGAGATGGTTGGACCTGGGACTAATGTTTGTGATATTAATGAGACTGTCGGATTCCAGAAATGTTTTTGACCCTTTGCAAACTGAAGAGCTTAGTACACATGGTGCTGAGAGGCGAACCAGTTTGGAGTTGATGTGTCAAACATGCTCAAAGGACCAACAGGGTCATTTTGCGCTGGGTACATTCAGAAGCCCGACTAGGAAATTCGTTTGCGAAGGAGCTGGAGCACTACTAGCAGCTCGGGAGTCAGTGGAGAATTGTCAGCGACAATGAGATGCGCTCAGCGAGGAAACGGAAACAAGACGGAATGTCAGTTTTAGAGAACAAGAGCGCACCTGACAAACAACATACAACTTGCACCGGGAATGGATCTGCAGTGGGTGTTTGGGAAACAAAAAGGTGCGAGGGCCCATTTCCATCCTGTGTAACCGGATTGTCTCGCCATAGCACATCTTGGAGGAAGAGAACCAGTACAAGACTTGAGCTCCTACCATTGCAACTTGGACACTTGCCGAGTATACATGTATATCTGTACATCATTGTTTACCACATTTACATGATATAGATTGATATAGATATATGAAATATGTATGTATGGATATTTTTTTGTTGACAACCTGAGTTGTAAGTGGAAACAGCTGTTGTGTACAGATGGGCAACTATGTTTTTGGTCGTGATACACTGCAGATTCTCACCAAGTGAAGTCAAAACATCACAATTCGCGGTTGCGACCGTTGCGACGAAGGTGCAGACTGTGGAGAAGGTTGTGGAGGTGCCAATGGTGGGTCAGACCTTGCAAGGCACCACACAGGAGGTGGACATTCCTCTGGCCCCAAGACGCGAGGACCTCGATGGGGATGGGATGGGTTGGATATTGATTCGCCAACAGGCTCCCCTTCTTGCAGTCTCCTTTTTGGTCCTCACCATAGTTTCCGCGATGATTTTGTTTTTTTTTGGAAGTGATGTCCACTTCCTGGATGCATGCTCATTACACACCTTTTTATTTTGTAGAAATACACTTTTCCTTGTTCTTGGCATGCATCGTGCACCCACAGTCTTTTCGTGTCTGCACGCCACTTACTTAACCAGGAGCATCCTGCGCAAGTTGTGGAACAGGCAGGCGGCTGTTGGATTCCACAGATCCAAGTTTTGCCTTGTTTCGATGACCCAGTTAAACATAGTTAAACCGCAGGTGATTGCCGGTGAGGACCATCCCGTCCAGGCTGGCTTCAGATCAAATCAGATCAAGGGAAGTGGCGCGATTCTGCAGCTTCATTCTTGGGAGTATCTGAGTATCTGTCCGATCTATCCTGTATCAAGGAAACCTTAGGTCAATACTTGTAGTTCCCAATGTGCAGAAATGATCGCATTTTGTGGCCATGTCGATTGGCATCCTGCAGGTCCTTCCTCCTCAGGCAGGTGAGGGAGATTGATGGCATAGTTCCTGACAATTCCGGAACGATGTGACAATGATCATAGAGTGGCAGAGAAGGAATGTTACAAGATTTTGCCTGTTGATTTCTACAAGATGTGAAGATTTTCTGCCAGGTGGTGGGCACCATGGCACCTCCTGTTCAGGCAAGATGCCGTTGGAAGTAATACATGATTTGCACACCTTGGAAAGGGGTGTTCTAAGATAGTCCAAGGGGCGTAATGGCATATTGAATCATAGTGAGCTAAGTTCGTTGACCTTGGCACAATCTGACCGCGGTTGCGGTGACAGACTCCATGCAGGTTGCTCCAGTCACCGTTCCCGAGGCTGGGTGACGGCCATCCTTTTTCGGCTTTGAACATGTTCGGCCCAACCCGGACGTTGCTCCACACTTACAATCGTCATGATCATTACCATCACATCACCACATCACCACATCATCACATCATCACATCATTACATCATCACACCATCACATCATGATCATCACATCATGATCATCATCATATTAAAATTCGCCACCCCCTATGAACAATATGTTGGTTGGGGTAATAACATCAACTTTATCTTCATGAGGGATCAAAATTCGCCACCCCCTATGAACAATATGTTGATTGGGGTAATAACATCAACTTTATCTTCATAAGGGATCAAAATTCGCCACCCCTTATGTCAATGTGTTGATTGGGGTAATAACATCAACTTTATCTTCATAGCCACCTGAAGTCAGACGCGGCGCAACGTCAGGGTTGCAGCGAACTATTTTCCCGAATGCGTAGCAAGGGTTCCCGTTTCACTCTGGGGGTCTGGGGGTTGAGGGTGTGTTCGCTCGACGTTGCGTTTCTGTTCGCAACCGTTCGCAACCGTTCGCAACCGTTCGTGTGAGGACCGTATGGCCGTGCCGCAGTGCCTATGGTAAGTTCTGCAGGAGGGTTCATTTTTGGAGGTTTCCAACGTTTCGTTGCTTCGTTTCGCGTGGCAGGCGTGGCACTTTGTGACATTCAGACGCGTTTTATAACGTGTCGAAAGTCGTTTTGTGTGGCAGGTGCAATACTTTTGCGACGTTTTCCGAAGATGCATGGCAGTTTTCGTGGCAGGCGCAGCACTTTGGACGGGTCCATCGTCATTTGGCGTGGCAGGCGCAGCACTTTAGACGTGTCGTGTTGGGTGTTTCTTGCAAATCGCATTGGCAGGGCTGCGTCAAGTGGCGACAAGGTGCAAGTGCCGTGGCAGGCGTGGCATTTTGTGAGATGTACTGAAAATTGACGGAAGCCTCGCACGAAACATTGATTTTGAGGTAGCAAATGTAGAGGTTCCTCGAAAACTCGTAGGAAAACGTCGATTCTGAGGCTGCAAAGTGTCAAAATTGGAGGAAGTCTCGCGCGAAATGCTCGTTTTGGTGCTCCCACCTGTCTCGTCTCGCGTCATTGGTTTTATGGTGGCTTCGCCGTGTCTATGGGGGAAGCTGCAAAACATGTCCTCTCAGCATGTTTCAAAGTGTGAAAATTGGAGGAAGTCTCGCACGAAATGCTCGTTTTGGTGCTCCAACGTGTCACGTTTCGAGTCTCCAGTTTTCCTGTGGCTTCGCCGTGTCTATCGGGGCAGCTGCAAAACTTCTCCTTTTCGAAGGTTTCCAAGCAGGTTGTCATGTCGTTTTGCGTGGCAGGCGTGGCACTTTGTGACATTCCAACCTCTTTGATAACGTGCCGAAAGTGTCTCTGGTTTTCTAGACACGTCGCCGTGTCTATAGGGGAAGCTGCAAAACCTCTCCTTTTCGAAGGTTTCCACGCAGGTTGTCATGTCGTTTTGCGTGGCAGGCATGGCGCTTTGTGACATTCCAACTTTACACTCTACACTCCACACTTTCCACTCCACACTCCACACTTTACACTCCACACTCTACACTTTACACTTTACACTCCTCACTCACTCCTCTACACACTACATTCTACACTCTACACACACCACACTCCTCACTCCACACTCCACACTTTACACTCCACAATTTGCACTCCACACTTTACACTCCACACTCCTTACTTTACACTCCGCACTCCACACTCCACACTCTACACTTTACACACTCCACAATCCCCCCACTCCACCCTTTACACCCCACACTCCTTACTTTACACTCCGCACTCCACACTCCACACTCCACACTCTACACTTTCCACTCCACACTCTACACTTTACACTCCACACTCCACGCTCTAGACTTTACACTCCACACTCCACACTCTACACTTTCCACTTCACACTCCACACTCTACACTTTACACTCCACACTCCTCACTCCTCACTCCTCACACCACACCCCACACTTTACACTCCACACTCTACACTTTACACACTCTACACTCCCCACTCCACACTTTACACTCCACACTCCTTACTTTACACTCCACACTCCACACTCTACACTTACCACTCTACACTTACCACTCCACACTCCTTACTTTACACTCTGCACTCCACACTCCAAACTCCACACTCTACACTTTACACTTCACACTTACCACTCTACACTTACCGCTCCACACTCCACACTCCACACTCTACACTTTTCACTCCACACTCTACACTCCACACTTTACACTCCACACTTTACACTCCACACTCTGCACTCCACACTTTACACTCCACACTTTACACTCCACACTTCACACTCTACACTTTACACTCTACACTTTGCGCTCTACACTCCACACTCCACACTCCACACTTTACACACTCTACACTCCCCACTCTACACTCCCCCACTCCACACTGCAGACTGGTAACAGAGGAAATATGTACAAGACTGTTCAAATAAACTATTGCAGAAAAGTGTTCTGCGTGACTGCATATCCATGTGTTTTGACATCTGTACCATTAACATACGTGTGGGCATTCGGGTTCGTGGGCTGCATCTTGTTTTTAATATGTTTTAATATTTTCTAATATGTTTCTTTATGTTTCTACACCATTTCACGAAAGCTGGCTTGCAAAAGCATTGGGGCAGTGGCTTGCCTGTAGATGCAGACGTGAAATCTCTCATGTCGAGGGCCCCCCAGGCGTGAAATATCTCATGTTTTGTACCTCCGTTGAAAGAAAGAGGATATAGCATGAGCTGCTCCAACAATATGAGCAGGGCGCCAAACTTGGTGAAGGTATCAAACAAGACAGAGTTCAGTAAACACAGCAACACAACATAGTGGGAAATGCTGCAAGGGCTCCAATTTATGCGGCAGAAAAGTGTTTCCACCTTGCCAGACCAGCTTTCGTTCCCCTTCCTTTGGCCTCAAGTTATACAATCGTTTTTCTCCCGAAATCTACGGCACAGCAACTCTTCCCCGAGTGGCCTCTAGTCCTTGTTCCGCTTTCGGCCACTGTGCTTGACTGGTCACCCATCACCAGACATCACCAAACTGCCAGGCAACTGCGGCCTCAGCATCAGCTGCCCCCGCTGCGATTCAGGAGAGAAAGTCCTCGATCACAATGGAGCACGACTGAGACTTCAATCATCATTAAAGCGGAGTTAAGGTTGGTAATCATCTGATAATCTAGCAAGATCAAGAAAAACTTCCAAGGCTGACTCAGGTGCAGGTTGACGCACAAGTTTAGATAGACCTTTGGGCATAGCAGCCACATCTCCAGGAGCCAGTGCAGACAAGCGCATAAAGGCTTAGGCACTTGGCCGCTTGCAGATTTGTGGCTTTCAAATCACATGGATGTGCAGGTGACGTTTAAATTTCTTGGACACTCACAGCAAACAAGAATTAGAATGAATTAGACATTTATTTTCTTGGATTCAGTTTTTTCTGCTTGGTGGGGTGGATAAGATAGCCGTTCCTTTGCAAGCCAGGTTTGAAGAATTCATGATGCATTCAATCTGCTGTCCAAATTCGGACTGATCTCTTACATGCCTTATTGCTGGCACCTGTCTCATCCAGTATCTTTAACCCTAGCGCCTAGTTCACTCAATCTGAAGACGGGGCGTACAGCTCGCATATCTTTCTGACTGGGAAGGGTGGGTTTGGCTGCTCGAAGCTAATGACCTCGAGGCTCATCGATCATCGAGGATGTCAGAGGATGTTTTCCATTTGAGCTAGGGATGCTTCTGTCCCCGCTCGTTGAAAGCCTTGGCGGCTTTCACATTTTGAAGGGGGCAGAGACTGCAAAGGGCATTGCAGGACCTTTGTGATTGGGACGCATCAGTCTAATTTGGATTTCGTCAAATCCAAACACTGATCCCTTGCACTTTAATTTGATTGATCCTTTTTTGCCAGTGAGTCCTTTGCCAGGAGTGAGACTGTTTGTGTGAGTGCTGTATAACAAGGTTGACCTTGAGCCATTAAAACATGAGAACTTTGTTGACCCTTTGTGAGTCTCCTGGGCGAAGGCTCGCCTTTTTGCCTTGATTTCTTACAGCGAGATCATTTCACCATGGTGGGAGCTTGGAACACCCCTGAATGACCCCGAAGCAAGGGGAACGTAGAGAGTTCGAGAAATGGCTCTTGTCCTTTGTGTAAGAGATCCAGTGAGATTTGATAAGATCAAGTCAGTGGTGTTCTTGCTCTGGAGCAAGCATAGTTGATGTCTGCTACTCTGAGCCTTGGGAACACCTGTGCCCGTTCCTGATGTGGGCAGGCTTGGGCATCGAAAGCAATGGTTGGATTGCAGGGGAAACTCGCAATGAATCTCTCCCTGCATCCACATGTTAGGTGGCTATTGCGCTGCCTAAGGTTTTCCCGCCAGTATCATACCTTGGTTCACTCGCTTCGCTTTTTCTTGGTGGCAAGCAGTACCAGCCCGTGTCGTTCCTGACCAAACAAGTTTCTGAGCTTGAGTCATAAGAGCAGCATGTGGGTCCACAGACGTCATTTTGTGCCTTCACTGTCGTCTGTCTTTTGTTTCTTTGCAGGGTGGGTGTTTGGCCTGTGCACTCTTGGACCATTTGCTGGATACTCATGGTACACTTTCAGCCATTTGAAGGGCCAAATTGAATTCATCCTCTGAAGCATTTTTGAAGTTGAACTGCCAATAACCCAAATTGTTATAGCCACCTGATGTGTCCTCAACTGTCAAATCAAATGAAGTTGAACAGGGGGAAACACGGCATACCGAAGATTTGTAGACAACTTATGGCAATTTAGCATTCCATCGCTGTCGTGTGGTTACACATCCATCATCATCCATCGAATCGTAATGGTTGCTCGTCACAAACCGGCTTCGGCGCGACCACGTTCCAAACGTGCAGGCGAAGCGAACAGCCATGAACAACCGCACTTTCTCAATTCCTTTCAGCACAGTGAATCATATCATAACCATATCAAGACGAATCAATTCATATCCTACAACTTTGATTCACTTTCACCACATTTGCTTTGTCAAAAGGCCGGATATGTCAAGGAGATGTTCAGCGAGGTGTGGCGTTTCAGGGTGATCTGGATTGCCATGGTAGCTCCTTGTGCTACTTGTCGTGGGCTCAGCTGGAACATTACGTGCACCTATTGTCAGAAGAAAAAAGGTTTTGACGGTTGCAAGCGAATGAATGCATATGGATGCATATGGCACATGTTCCCCACATTTCCTCTGTGGTCTTGATAGCTATTGAGCATCACTCAAGCTTTGTGCTGCAAGAAGCGTTGTCTTCTCAAGGGTCGTCTCAAGTAGATCGATGCTACTGCTATAGCCCCAGCAGCCCCCAGCTGCGACTGTGGCAGGACTGCAATTTCTGTTGCAACTGTTACGGTTTGAAGTCTAAACAACGCTTCGATGGGGTGTCAGCGCGCGCCGGCACCTTTCCAAAGTTAGAAATACCAATAACAGTTGAAATCACCATCATCATCATCATCATCATCATCACCATCATCATCATCACCATCATCATCATCATCGTCATTATCATCATCATCATCATCATCATCATCATCAGCATCAGCATCAGCATCATCATCATCCAAATTATTTCTGGGACATTGCGTCCCAAGTGCAACCAAGATAGGTTGCAAGCTTGGTCATGCGGCCACGAGAGCATCTGAATAGGGAATGAAGCTAAGCCCAAACACAGCGTGAGGAGGGTTATTGCCCTCCCACCGAAACCCACTCCCACCCCTCACAGAAACTTGACGGCAAATGTCATCCAGAGCACATCTAAGACATCCGTCTATATAGTCTTCAAACGCCAGATCAGCGCGACCTCTGCACGCAAAGGTCAAAAGATAAACTAATGTGATGCAAAGGCGAAGAGCAACATCGACAGCGTCCACGGCAACCCTAGAAAATGCATCACACCATAGATGTCAAATGCCCGTCGTCATGGTGACAAGTGGAGGGGATTATCACATGCGGGCAACATTTATACATGGTTTACGAACAGTCACAAAACACTGTGCTGGTCAGCAAAAACAACCCTCGAGCCGCTATTCGCTGCAGCTTACTGAAATAGTTTTGAGTTTTATGATGCTTGATGCATTGAACCAGTCCTGAAACTATTGCAGGAATGTTTAATGAGGCACCATGCCAGACCCTCATGGTGAAGGACGGACTGCCTAAAGCCGTTTATGAGTGGTCCAAACGAGATCCAGAACACAGCGAAGTGGTCAACTGCGGTCAACTGCAAGCGGAAATCTGAGAATGTGTTGACGGTTTCTGTCTTTGACCCTTCAGATTTTGCACGGCAGGGTCTAAATGCTCAATCGACCGAAGAAAGCGTGAGACAGTCCCTTGGAAAGTTTGGTGCTATCAGCAGCATCAAGGCCAGAAGCCATCGAAGTCATCACACGATGCAACAGCCATTGTAGTCCATTTATGTTCATTTAGCATTGTATTCTCAACTTGGAAAGTCAACAACTAGCTCTGAGCTCAGTCCGTCTCTATATGGACAAAACCGGCACCGCAGGTGTTGCCAGTTGCTGCAGGAAAGACCACCGCTGCTGCCTTTATTTCGTTCACAACGCTTGAAGAGGTGAGCAACGTGGTGGGTTTGCGAGAACGGCTGTAAATTGTGGAGGACAAGGATTGTAAACGGTTGCATTCATTTTGTTTGGTGACCTTGTCAAGGCAATGTGGATTGCTGAAAACATCAACGGGACACTCAGTTGCACCTCACTCAATATATATATATACATATATATATATATATCTATCTATCTATCTATCTATCACGAAAGCTGGCTGTGCTAGCTGAAGTTGCTCTTGCTTTAGCAAGGAATAGGCAGGGAGCAGGACCGTTGGAAACCTTGAAACTTTCCAGTTAATCCCCCCTTCCACCCCCCTGGCGGGCCCAGGTTCGATCCCCCCTGGTCCCCCCCGAGCCTGATCATCATCCTCATTTTCATCTTCATCGTCACCCTCCTCACCCTCCTCATCCTCACCCTCCTCATCCTCATCCTCATCATCCTCATCCTCATCATCCTCATCCTCATCATCCTCATCCTCATCATCCTCATCCTCATCACCATCCCCATCATCCGCAGCATCCACATCCACATCCACATCCACATCCACATCCACATCCACATCCACATCCACATCCACATCCACATCCACATCCACATCCACATCATCACCATCATCATCATCATCACCATCATCACCATCATCACCATCATCACCATCATCACCATCATCACCATCATCACCATCCACATCATCACCATCATCATCACCATCATCATCATCATCATCATCATCATCACCATCATCATCATCACCACCATCATCATCATCATCATCACCATCATCACCATCATCACCATCATCACCATCATCACCATCATCACCATCATCACCATCCACATCATCACCATCATCATCATCATCATCATCATCATCACCATCATCATTATCATCACCACCACCACCACCATCATCATCATCATCCTCATCATCCTCATCATCATCATCGTCGTCCTCCTCATCGTCAGTAAACCAACCAACAACTCTATAAAATCATCATCGGAAACTTGCCGGCTTCCAAATGATCATAGTTATCTTCCTCCTCCTCCTCCCCCTCCTCCTCGTCATCATCAGCATCATCATCATCGTCGCCATCATCGTCATCATCATCATTCTCATAATCATAATGATAGTAATAATCATAATCATCATCCTCATCCTCATCCTCCTCATCATCGTCCTCCTCCTCATCATCATCATCATCATCAACAACATCATCATCCTCATCGTCATCCCTCTCATTCTCATACATATGTTGCATTGTCTCGAACATCTTTATGCAGATTCGGGCTTCCATTTGGGGGGTGTTTTTTTCTGATATTGCGTTTCTTTTGCTTACAACACTTGGCGAGAGACGATTACTGCATCGGGGGGTTTTCGCTTGCTGGACTCAATAGATTTTGCAACCCGACAACCCGTTGCCGCATTTCTTCACCTTGCTAATCCCCCTTTACGATTACCACCCTACCCCAGCCCTGCTAGCTTTCGTACCTCCCCCCGGCCTCAAGTAATTATATATATATAATTATATATATATATATTATATATATTATTATATATATATCTATATTATATACACAATATCATATGAATATAATATAATATAATATAATATAATATGATATAATATAATATGATATAATACAATATGATATTATATATAATGTAATATAATATAATAAAATATTATACAATACAATACACACACACATATATATATACACGGAATTATATATATATATATACACATTTGATCATATTTGCTCAGAAGGAGTTTTTGGACTCAAAACTGTTTGTACGCCTTCAGTTCGCTGGTTTGCGTGCGCATCTGTTGTTTGATGTGGTTAACATAGTAATGATTAATTAATGTGAAGTAGAGGTGCACAGAAGACCGTTCCAAGTTCAAACATCTAATTCTTGCATATTTTTGCAGTCTTGAATAGGGCGGACTCAGACGGTGTGGTGCAAAAACAGGAAAGCTGACAGAACATCCCTGCAGCCAACATTTTCACAAAACAACATGGATTTGGTAAAGCGGGGAGCGGTATTGAAATGCCAGGCTTCTGAATAGGTCTTGTTTGGGTGACTTTGGATCAGAACTCCAAGATCATTGAGAACAAAGGGCACAATATGGCACCCAAAAAGAAACTTTCAAATTTTTCAAGCTCTGCAGACAATTAAGGATGACACTACCAGGAGAAGCTGGTCCTTTGGAAATTGTCTATGCACCTCCGCGTGACCCAATGAAAGGCCATGTCAAGGGTTGGGCCCCGGGCAGTCGGGAAATTTGCATCAAACGTTTGACTTATTTTGCTTATTTTACTTTGCTCACTGTTCTGTTAACGAAGAACGCACAGTTGTTCAATGTGTTCTAAAGAGGCGGCTAAGTGGTAATCCTTGAAAGGTTCTTCAAACTAATGGCCACTTGGTCTCGGTCTTTGTAGCAAGGTTTAGGGGAAGTCTTTTCATGTCCTTGTATATACGTACCCTCGTTCTCTTTGAGCCACTGCTTAGAGTTCTTGGGTTGCGGGTGGAGGGATGGATTCCTGCAGTGATTTACCATTTGACACTCTTGTGCAGTATTCATTTCGCAGTCCAGGTGGAAAGGGCAAAGGCGGAAAATTTGACGCCACAGGCCTTGAGATCCGTGACATTTTACGCATGTTTGGAGAGCTGATCTTGAAGTTTGATCTGCAAGGTATCCGCAAGTGTTATGCCTTTAGACTGTAACATATTATAACATACTATAACATACTATAACATACTATAACATACTATAACATACTATAACATACTACAACATACTATAACATACTATAACTATGTGTTGCGGATCGCTAAGCCTTTGGATTTTCTTTCACGTGCATTGAGGTCCTTACAGTATGACCGGCAGCCTGCACAAGACCAAGATGTGCAGCTTCTTCCAAAGTCAAGGAGTGAATGGGACTGGCTGAGCATGGACTCCAGAACGACACAGACTCCAGTCTCTCTGAATCATACGAAATGAGGAGTGTAAATAAGTGTAAAGGAGTGTGAAGGCTCGAGGCTGTATGACGGACCTCTCATGCTCAAGTGCCAACGCATGAAAGTTAACTGGCCCGCCGCCGCCTGCATTTTAATCCTTCCTCACATAGGGACAGGTGACAATGTGTTCACAAAGGTGTCGCCTGTCTGCAGCTGCGATACATGCTGCAGTTGTGTGGCTACCACAGTTCTTTTCTATTATTTTGTCTTCGACAGGTTCTTTGGGGTTCCTCTAAGGGCTATGGTTGCCATTTATGCTGCTCCCGTGATTTCTCGAGGGCCCAACACTATTGCAGGGGTGAGAACAGCAATTTCATTCCTGAAAAAGTGAACATAGTATCAGACCAAGAGCAAAACCTGCAGTTCAGCCTGAAAATGAGGCTGTAGCCTTCCCAATATTGCAGCTTGTGCTCACAGGATTTTGCGCCAAAGGCGACGTGTGCGGCTTTGCTCACGGTGCTCACGAGCTCAACGGCCGCGCCCTGAGTTGTTAAGAGTTTTGGGTCAAGGTGTTGAAGCTTTGGATGCGTTTGTATGGTTTCTTTATTCTGTATATATATATATATAGCTATTTATCTCTATATATATATATACATATACATATGTGTGTGTGTGGACCATCTGAAAAGATGTAAAACTTCCTTTGTTTCGATGATGATTGTTTTTCGTGGTTTTCGCTTTTGAATTATACTTGCAGGGGGCACAGGCCCATTGTGGATACCTGTGCCAACGAAGCTATTCCACAATGGGGGAAGCGGAGATTGATCACCTCCGTGTACCTGCACCAATTTTCATTTCCGTCCATGGCAACCGGCCAAGCCCAGAACCGGCATGTCGATTTGTTTTCAACGTCTTTTCTGCACTGTTGCCACAATCTGCCTATTCTACGATTTTTATGATTGAAAAAGCTGCATCTGAACCTTCCTCAGAGCAAGGACGTAGAAAGTTTACTTCGTACTGAAATTCGCGCTGAATCAACAAATTTTCCTGGCAGTTTTTTAAGGGACTGTTTTGTGCACGTGAGATGCATTCCACAACAAAATTCGCATTGCTGTTTCTGAGCAAGTGTGTCATTCCTGCTGTTTACGTCAAGTTGGCAGGAACCCTTCGGGGAAAGCCTTTCCAGGCTAACAATTGACAGTAAAACGATGTCTGAATTTACACTTTTGAATTAGTAATTCGTTTAAGTAAAGTGAACTGCTGGCCTTTTTTCGGTTTTCACCCCGTCGATCGCCAAGTGTTGAACAACTGGCCGCTGTATGTGGCTTCACCTTTTTCCAGAGATGCCAGGGTTTGTAGCCTGAAGCCACGACAACCTTCGTTCTATCAAGAGACAGCCCGCAGCCATTTGACATGAACAGGTAACAGGACATGCTTTACAGGTGTGGTCTCTTCCTTTTGGTTACTTTGGTGAGGTTAAAATTGTGCACGTAATTCAAGGGTTGAACACGTCAGCTGTCCAGAGGGTTGTGACTTGAAAGCCGAGGGCCTTGAGCCTTATCACGAATACTGCATGAGTTGTGGATGCATCAAATGTTAGTGATTTTACCATTATAGTGATCGTCTGACAGTGCTGCCAGACCTGTCAAATTTGGCCATGTTTCCTGGTCGTTGGCCAAACCTTTCGGAGAACATGTGGAACTTTGGCTGGTCAGCGCCTGCCTTTACTCCACCTCAACATGCAGCACAATTTGGTCAATTTTGTGGAGGTGATATGATGAACCAACAGTCTCAAGCTCAGTCACAAGCTCAGACTCAAGCTCAGTTGGCCCAGTTAAGGGAACAGAATACACTATTGAATCAACAATTGAATTCCCAAGCCCAGACCCATATCCAGCAACTTCAGCAGCTTCTCCCATTCCATCAGCCTCCTCAACCAACCGCATCTCATCAGATTCCTCCATCAATACCTGATCCACCAACGGTGCCACCAGTCCAAACACCTCCTGCTCCAACTCCATCTCAACCCGTTCAACAAGGGCCCAACATCACTTTCAATCCAGAAGAGATGATTCAACAGATGCGTCACACAGTGGAATCGGGCATGCAGGCGTTTATGGAAAAGACCAAAGAAAGGTCTAAGAGTCCTCATCCAAGTGTGACACAACTTCCACCAGCGACCCCAGTCGCAGAGTCTCCACCTGTCGTCCCGTTACCACCACTTCCACGGCTTCATCGCCGTTCCAGGTCACGGTCAAAACACATTCCAACTCAAGTGGACAAACGTCCAATTTCGATCCCGAGAAGTCCAAGACGTCACAGACGTGATAGCCGTCCACGTCACCGTCGACGACATTCCTGCTCACGTGATGACTCCATGCCTCCAAGCCGTCCCCAGTCAGTCACTCTTCGATCCAACTCCCCACGTCATCGTGAAGTACCACATCAGCGAGATGAACATCGTCGACGTGATGATTATACTTATCCATCCACTACCCATCAACCTGAACCTTGGAACGACCATCACTACGAACAACCTTCAATCTCCGACAAGTCGGATTACCATGACCACTCCACCTACCATGACCACAGCTCCACCAAAAAGTGGAAGTCCTGGCAGTCTTGGAAAGACCAGTCCAAGTCTCAATATCACACACATCCCTCCGGATGGGTCGACTATTCAAAGCCGTATTACAAACATCAATCTTATGATGAACCGCCTTCCAGATATCCCTCAAAACCTTTGACGGCATTCTCGCTGGACCAGCACTCACACAACCATGGTAATCATCCCAATCGCTCTGGTTCTGCTCAGTCCCGAGCTTCCACTCTTCCACCTGGTCATATTGCCATCAACCTTCAAGAAGGTTCCAAAGAGGAATGGGCTCGTCAAGTCAAACATGCTCTCACCCATCCCGATTGGATGAGAGCGGCAAATGAACTTGATGCCAAGGAGCTTCCACAACCATCCACGAGTATTGTCCAAGAGCACTTCGAGGAAGCGATGGAAGAACTGAATAAAGTGGATTCTAGAATCCCAACAGACATTGGCAGGAAGGCCATACATTTATTGTCGAGCACTGGCATCCTGACAGATTTTGATCTTTCCGCATGCTATGTTCGAGAACTTCCTCAAACAGGCATGCTGGCCCTGGTCATGCCGTTACCAGAAATGAGTCGGTTTCAATTGCCCCCACCTTTTGGCGGCCAAACCCTCATCACATGGGCACTTGGCCATGGTACGACCCTCAGTACCTCCCAGTTGATTCTCATGGAGGGCAAGATCCGACCAGCAAACTGGTCCTATCACAAAAATCCACAGCGATGTCACATGCCCACCTTTGGAGCCTTCTACATAGGCCGACAGATTGCGAATGCTGATAAGAACATCCCATCATGGGCAGAACAGGAACTGCTCGATTCTATGGAGAAGAAAGGAAAAGGCCAGCAAGAGATCACCATTGGGGCGATCTATAGAGGATCACTGGAACATCTTTCACTACGCGCTGGAGGGAACGAGAAATGTCAGCTCAATGTAGCTAAAAAGGGAATCGTCACCACTCCTGAGAAGTACACGATTGCTCATAGCTACCACGTGGGGCTGAAATTCATCGCGATCAAATGGTCAGACCTCAAGGATGATGACAAACTGGCACGACGTCCTATTGATCTGCTGACACCGACTCTGAGGACAATGTCAACTATCGAGCCAACGAGGAACGGCGTGCAGCCAGACATCGACGTTGAGCACTTAAGACAGCACTCTCAGATTGTGTATCTCTAGCTTATTTGTCCTAAACAGGATCATGACTTCTTTCTAGGGATTTCCTGGACAAACGCTTTGGCAAAAATGCTCCATTGCAACAGCTGACCTGCTCATTCAACTTGTGTTTCGCCTTGATGGATTTCATTTCTTTTGATCAGGTTTGTTTTGTGGGTTTGATGCAAGGACCAACGTTGCTTGAAAGCGTCAATGTACCATACATTTGATGATCCAATTCATCTCATCTTGTCAATCGTTGCAACCACCGCAGCCTTTTTTGATCCATCAGTAAGTTTTGAGTTGATCACGCCACTATGGCAGAGTCTGATCGATCTCGCTCACCAGCACCTGGTCGAAATCGTGCTGAACCTGACCCTCCTCGTCCTCCTGTACGGCAAGATCTTCCTTTCTTTCCGCGATGGGTGTGGTCCTATACAATCAGCGATCTGGCACTCTCAACAGATGTTTCGACCTCAGTCCAGGCCTCAGTTTCAGCCTCAGTTCAATATACGCCAGCCGGGGCCTTACATGATGACTACATCAACAGATCCATCGGCTTCGATGACCACATGGCCACATCCAAGATTTCCATCAGCCAATCCAAGATTTCCACCTGCACCTCCTTCGTCACCACCACCAACACTTGCTTATCCACGTCAATCCAGATCAGTCACTCCACCATGTTCACCTACGATTCCATGTGCTCCAACTCAACTGGCTTCACCCAGCACTCCATCGATCCCGTCGTCACAACCTCGCCATTCCGGCACTCCATTCTCCAAGTCACCAGGAGGACAGACAACCACTGATGAAAGTCGCACATATGGCTTCGATCTTAACCCTCACTGGCAAGAAGATCAAGACCATTACGACAATCAGAAGATCAACGGTTTGACCTTCCCTCGATGTATTCGACCTTCAGCTTTTACACAAAAGCTGGACATCGAGGGATGCGACCCTTTGAAGCTACCGGTAGCGGCCTTACTATATCAGCAGGCCAACAACTTTTGGCTTCGGAAGCTGGCTCATGGGCGTGAATTGTACCTGATTCCAACGGGGGACATCGCAGCTGTGGTATTTATGACGGAGCTATTGACCCAACTTCGGAACAAAGGGGTGGACCTTGACAAGGTGTCATCTTGCAAAGCCAGACAGGATGGAAAGTTGCTGGACAAGACCAACAACACCAAGTATGCTGCTCAACAGATTGCAGACCTGATCCACACTTGGGTTCCTACCCGAATGGCAGACCCTGACACTCAACATGAACTGACTCAACTCCGGAGTCAACTTGCCCAACTGCGACAACAACTCGGGGAACCCCCAGGCGATTCCTCTTCTCCGGGCACCACTGGCCCTTCATCATCCAGCCCTGCTGCCACACCCATCCAAGCTGCTCTTCTTCGAAGCTCTCAGCAACCAGCTCCTCCTGCACCACCGGGCTTTGATCCTTCATCTCTCCTGGTCGGCAGCACCAGTGTCAATCCGTGGCTCACTCAAAACATGCCACCCACTCTTGCAGTCAGAGCCTTCAACAAATGGTTGAAAGAACTCGCACTCTCCGATGCAAAACGCAAAGTGCTCACCGACAATATTGCCAAGACGGAGGAATGGTGGGCCAAGCAACCAGCTGATGCGCTTGAGACTGTGGAACGAGTGGCAGTCATGATGGGAATCCCAGTCAATCTCATGGGAAAAAACTATGATGCGTTGAACCTTCTCCGGGCTATGACAGCGGGCATTAGCCTTACCAACTGACAAGCTCCGCTCTTGCGTCGAAAACTCAAGCAC